AAGAAAAAAAAAAAGGAAAATAACGATAACAATAAAAAAAGTTTTTTTAAAAAAAAAATCCACCCAAACACGAAACCATCCACAGCTAATTTGCTTGGCCTAGCAAGAAATGTCAAGGGGGGGGGGGAATAAAAACACAAAAAAACCCCAGTAATAATTTAAAAAAAGGAGGAGGGAGGGTTGGGGGGAGAAACGAAAAATGTAATTTCTGTGAAATGAAAAAGAATCCGTAGAGAGAGAGAGGGAGGGGTTTAAAACGCGACCCGCACCGGGAGTCGGCCTACCCGGCAGGGTCGGTAGCGAGAAACGCTTCTTTGGTTTGTTTGGGGCCAGTTCATTTCCCAGGGCTGCAAGGAGACCCCCCTCCTCACCCGCCCCCCCAAAAAAGGAAAGATCGCTAGAAGCCGGAAGCTGCGGCCGAAGACCCTCTCCCCATTTTGAGTGGGTGGGTGGGTGGGTAGGACGAGGCTGCGGTTCTCCTTCTCCTTTCCACCCAGAACGAAAGACGGGAAGATCCGGCTGTCTATCCCGCGCCCATCAACGTGCTGGCTTCTTTCGATAAAACTGTTATAATATATATTTTATATATATATATATATATACATACACACATCTATATTTCTTTTCTTTCAGCCGATTTTTGGTTTGGGGTGTGGTTTTTTTTTTTGGTTGGTTTTTTTTCCTGAGAATTTGGTTTCAATCGGTTTGGGGATGACTTTTTTTTTTTTTTTTTTTTTAAACAGCAGGAGGGGGGGAAAGGGGCTTCCGGAGAGATTTGTGGCGAGGGCGGGGCAGGCAGATTATTTTGTGAAAAAGATCCGGCGCCGGGATTCGAACGCGAAGGCAGGAAGAGGGGTGGGTGGGGGTCCCGTTCCGTCTGGTGGGGTGGGGAGGGGAGCAGCCCTCTCGAGAACCAGGGGCGAAAGGAGCCCCACAAAAAAAAAATTAAAAAATAAAAAATAAAAAACGGACAAAACAGTTGAACGCTAGTCGTCTCCGGCGCCTTTTTGTCGCGCGCTCGCCCAGGATCGGGCGGTTTCCCCCCCCATGTGAAAAGAGGGTTTCACTTTCTCTTGCGCGTTTTTGCGCGGTCGGCTGCCGGTTTTATCGTCGTGGCTTCGGGACGGGGGTCTTCGGGACCCCGCGGCTTTCTCTCGGCTGCGTCAAGCGACGGCTCCCGATGGAGAGGTTGGAAAAGCCATCGTAGCTTAGTCGGTTTCCGGCTCAGCCCTGGATGGAAGCATTTCATGACCCAGCTAGGTAACATCACCAGGGCTAGAAGGGAGAGGGGTTTGCATGCTAGAGGCTTCCCCTGCCCCAAGAGTAAAGAACAGTGTAATCAATGAAGCAGCAAAAAGACTCCCGTGTACACGGAGAGGGCCAGCCACTTGCAGAGAAAGAAAAAGCAGACCCCACTCTGTGCGCGGATGGTGTTCCCTAGTTGGGTCATGAAACGTCTGCAAGAAAACCACCCAGCTCAGAGAGCATCAAGGACCCATAGTCTTCCTCCTCCTCCTCCTCCTCCTCCTCCTCCTCCTCCTCACTTCTCTTTCTCCTCTCCACAAACCCCCACTCCCTTCTAATACTGATGATGTTACCTAGTTGGGTCATGAAACATCTGCAAGAAAACCACCCAGCTCAGAGAGCATCAAGGACCCATAGTCTTCCTCCTTCTCCTCCTCCTCCTCCTCCTCTTCCTCACTTCTCTTTCTCCTCTCCACAAACCCCCACTCCCTTCTAATACTGATGATGTTACCTAGTTGGGTCATGAAACGTCTGCAAGAAAACCACCCAGCTCAGAGAGCACCCAGGACCCCACATTTTAACCCCGATCCACAAATATCCTCCATCAAACAAGTCCATTTAACCAGAAAGCATTAGTGAGATCGGAAACACCATTCCTTGGGAAATAAGGACGAGAATTTAGCCACCGCTGAAAGGTTTTCCGGACAGGGCACTCCATTCCTTTATTTGGAAAATTCTTCTATCGGCTTACTCATCCGATAGAAACCGCAGGTGGGTCTCTGCAGGTCTGGAAAAACGCCACTGGCACAAAGATTCAGTCACAAACGGGGCTGCTCGTTTCCATCTGCCCTGACCCACACATACACACAAAAAGTCCTTGGGGTGCTTCAGGGAAGTGCAGACATCTTGACAGAAATGTGAAGAAGAAATAGTTCAACCTTGAGCAACTGGGCTGTTACCCCAAGCTGGAAACTAGAATGGCAGAGTCGGGAGGGACCCTGGAGGTCTTCTAGTCCAACCCCCTGCTGAAGCAGGAGACCCTAGAGCAGGGGTCTTCCAACTTGGCCCTTTGATGACTTGTGGACTTCAACTCCCAGAATTCCTCAGCCAGGCACGCTGGGAGTTGAAGTCCACAAGTCATCAAAGGGCCAAGTTGGAAGACCCCTGCCCTAGACCAATCAATCAGAATACTGTTAGAAGGGACCTTGGAGGTCTCCTAGTCCAACCCCCTGCTCAAGCAGGAGACCCTAGGCCAGGGGTATCCAAACTTGCAACTATATAAAGACTTGTGGACTTTAACTTACGACTCTTTTTCACAGTTACGACCTTGGCAGCCTCCCCGGGATCACGTGATCAAAATCCGGCCACTTGGCCACCGGTTCTTATGTATGACGGTTGCAGCTTCCCGGGGTCATGTGATCCCCTTTGGCGACCTTCCGATAAGCAAAGTCAGTGGGGGAAGCCCCATTCACTTAACAACCTAACAGTTGCACTGATTCGCTTAACAACCGTGGCGAGAAAACTCACTGAATCTCGCTTAGTGACAGAAAGTTTGGGCTGAATTGTGGCTGTAAGCTGAGATGTAATTCACAAACTCCTCGTTTTTCCAACCGAATCAGCCAGCCAAACTCTTGTCTCGGGATCCTTCCGAGATCATTGGCACTGTTTCGCACCCAGCGCCAAACCCTGGATCCCACCGATGAAGGAATCGGCCTTTGACACACTGGCTGGATCAAGCTTTTTATTCAAATATTCCGCTTAAACGACTCCCCCAAGAATTCCTTGGGGACTTGGGAATCTTCTGTCTATTCCCATTTCCTTCCTTCCAAACCAATTTGGGGGTGCAGAGAAAAGGGTGGGGGTGGGCTCAAATGAAACCACTTTCACTCCATTTGGGCTGGGGGATTTTCCAAGTTTCGGGAAGCACCGGCTTTAGGGGAGGGGCTACAGGGATTCGCCCTGCTGGAATGAAAAGAATAAAAAAACTCAAAATTCCTCCTGTCGGAAAAAGGGGCTACCAAATTGACTTGCTTTTCTTAACAATTTATGGGTAGTCTTCGGACTTACAACGGTTTGCTTAGTGACCGTTCAAAGTTACGGCGACACGAAGAGCGACGACAACTGTTTTTCGCACCTGTGACTGTTAGCAGTGCCCCCGGGGTCACGTGATCAAAATTCAGAGGCTCGGCAACTGGCGTGTACTTCTGTCGGTTGTCCCGGGGTCACGCGATCCTCTTTTGCGACTTTCTGACAAGCCAAGTCAAATGGGGAGGAAGCCGGATTCACTTTATAACAGGGTTACTAAGTTAACAGCTGCAGTGATTCACTTAACAACCGGGGCAAAGAAAAGGTTGCAAAATGAGACAAACCTCACTTGGTTTGTCTCGCTTAGCAACAAATGTTGGGCTCAGTTGTATCCTAACCATCATACCAACTAGACCAGGGGTAGGCAACCTTGGCTCTTTTATGACTCGTGGACTTCAACTCTCAGAATTCCTGAGCCAGCATGAGGGAACTATGGCCCCCTCATGACTCGTGGACTTCAACTCCCAGAATTCCTGAGCCAGCATGAGGGAACTATGGCCCCCTCATGACTCGTGGACTTCAACTCCCAGAATTCCTGAGCCAGCGTGGCTCAGCTTGGAAACCTCTCCCTTCCCCTTCAGCATGGCTGGCTCAGGAATTCTGGGAGTTGAAGTCCACCAGTCATAAAAGAGCCAAGGTTGCCTACCCGTGCACTAGATGGTTGCTCTTAAACCGGAACCTCTAGGGAAAAGGGTTCCAAAATAGGGATGAGTCAGGAGGACACGATGGCGCAGGGTCTGCTTGAGCAGGGGGTTGGACTAGAAGGCCTCTGAGGTCCCTCCCAGCCCTAGGATTTTATGGGACAGCTTTAAGAGGGAGCTTAAAGAACGCAGCCAGCGCCTTGAAAGGCTCTGGGATTTAAACAGCTTTCTGAATCCTGGGAATTTTTAAACCACGGTCCTCTTTCTTTTCAAAGTTGCCTTGTCCTTGTGCCAACTTCTCCGTTGAGGATATTTTCCGCTTAAAAAGATAAAACATTTTAAGTCGTGAAGGCTCCTGTGTTTCCCTCTCGTTCCGATGGACACAATGGCGGAAGGGCTGAGAATAAGGAGGGGTGGGGTGGGGGTCCTCATTTCGGCTCCCAGGTTTTTTTCCTTCTCCGGGGCCCAAACCTACAAACCAGCAGGGACCCCAAAACTCTTAATCCCGGTCTTCTAGCCGTCAATCCTGGCGAGAAAGCGGGAGCGCCGTTTCTTCCGAACCGAAGCCAGGTTCGGTTCAGAGTTCAAGTTTTTCTTTCCATGCCGACCCCAAACGACGTCTCCTGGCTTCTCTTTTTTTGCAGCAGGCTCCCCAGCCCTCCTCCTCCTCTTCTAAGTGACCTCTGGGGTGCCCGTGGACTTCCCTAAAACAGGCTCCGTGTGTCACGGGGAGCCATTTCCTTGCAAGGGGCTTGCGACCCCTTCCCGTGCCCCCCTCCCCTGGAATGGCTCAATGGGGCAGGCAGAGTCAGGCCGATTGGAGACGGTCCTGGCTGGACTTTGGGCGGCTGCTGTCCAAATCCCACCGGATGGGGTCTTTGAGGAGGGGGAGGGTCTCACTGCTGCATGCTGTTGCCCCCGGTCTGCATTTCCCAGCTGCTGGGTCCCCCCGGCTCCAGCTGGGCGACCTGCATGCCTTGCTGGTTTTGCCAGAGCTGATGCAGTTCTTTGAATTGCGAAACCATCTTGTCCTTGAGGTCCGGGTGCGAGATCTGCAGGCGGACGCTGTCGGCCGACCAGGACAACTCTCCGGAGAACATTTCTAAAAGGAGCCGGGCGGCTACGGGGACAACCTGTGGGTGAGACGGGGAGGAGAGCTTTTCTCAGCTGCCGTTCTCCGGCAACCCCAGAATCCCCCCAGCCAGGAGGATTCTGGGAGTTGGAAGTTCAAACCTCATTAAAAGCAACCGAGTCGGAAGAGTATTGCGCTTAAAGAGGCCCTTTTGATGCCCCGAGGCAGGGGTAGGCAACCTGGGCTCTTTTATGACTCGTGGACTTCAACTCCCAGAATTCCTGAGTCAGCCGTGCTGAGGGGAAAGGGAGAGGTTTCCGAGCTGAGCCAGGCTGGCTCAGGAATTCTGGGAGTTGAAGTCCACAAGACATAAAAGAGCCCAGGTTGCCTACCCCTGGCCTAAGTCCTCCTGTTCTAAGCGGTGAGCCTCCTAGACCAGGGGTAGGCAACCTTGACTCTTTTACGACTCGTGGACTTCAACTCCCAGAATTCCTGAGCCAGCCTGACTCAGCTTGGAAACCTCTCCCTTTCCCCTCAGCATGGCTGGCTCAGGAATTCTGGGAGTTGAAGTCCACGAATCATAAAGCGGCCTAGGCCTAGGGCAGGGGTAGGCAACCTTGGCTCTTTTATGACTTGTGGACCAACTCCCAGAATTCCTGAGCCAGCATGGGGGAACTATGGCCCCCTCATGACTCGTGGACTTCAACTCCCAGAATTCCTGAGCCAGCATGACTCAGCTTGGAAACCTCTCCCTTTCCCCTCAGCATGGCTGGCTGAGGAATTCTGGGAGTTGAAGTCCACCAGTCATAAAAGAGCCAAGGTTGCCTACCCCTGCCCCAAGGGAAGACCTGCACACCTCTAGAATTGCGTGAACCGGCTACGCAAGTGTGTGCAAGTTACACATCTGGCCTCAAGTCTGCCAGGGCCTTTTTTCAGCCGGTGGATTTGATTAAAAGGCAGCCGATGTTGTGAATGACAGCTCAGTTCCTCTCTTCCCATTTGCTAAAGTCTACTCCAGGCAGTCCTCGACTTTACAACGGTTCATTTAGTGCCCTGTTTTACAACCTTTCTTGCCTCGGTTGTGGAAACACCGCAGATCTTAAGATGTTAACTCAGTAACACGGTCGTTAAGCGAATCCGGCTTCCCCCATCGACTCGGCTGGTCAGAAGGTGGCAAAAGGGGATCATGTGACACACAACCCGGGGACGTTGCGACCGTCATAAATACGAGTCGGTTTCCAAGTGTCCGAATTTTGATCAGGTGGCCCCTGGGAGATGCTGCAAAGGTCGTAAGTGTGAAATGTGCTGATAAGTCACTTTTTTCACTACCGTCGTAACTTGGAACGGTCACTAAATGAACTGTTGTAAGTCAAGGACTGCCTCTAACCGTAAACTTGCCAAAATGCCAGCGGACTTTGGACTTTTTACCTAAAGCAGGTCTCCCGAAATAAACCCACCTGGACCGTGATGAGTTTTTTCTCCTTGGGCTTCCGATCGGGCCATTCTTCCCCAAAGCAGAAGAATATTTCATAGGGAGGTGGCGTCGGGCTCTGGCCTTTCTGGAACAGGATGAGTCCTGCAGGAAGGGAAAAATTAAAATTTAAAAACATGTCCCAGTGAGAGGGGGGGGGGAAACAGAAGGCAAACTTGGGGGAAAAAATTGGGGGGAAAATGTGCTTCCTAACTGTGAAATTTTGACATGGAGAGCCGTGATTCCATCGCGGAGAGCTGCCTGTATCCAAAGGGAAACTGAAATTGGACTTGTGGACTTCAACTCCCAGGATTCCTCTACCATCCATGCAGGCTAGGGGATTCTGGGAGTTGAAGTCCACAAGTCTTCAAAGTTGCCAAGGTTGAGAGACACCTGGCTACTTTAAGACTTGTGGACTTCAACTCCCAGGATTCCTCAGCCGTCCCTGCGGGCTGGGGGATTCTGGGAGTTGAAGTCCTCCCCTCTTAAAGTTCCCAAGGTTGAGAGACACTGCTCTGAATCAGGCCTCTCTAAAACTTGGCAACTTTGAGACTTGTGGACTTCAACTCCCAGGATTCCTCAGCCATCCATGTTGGCTAGGGAATTCTGGGAGTTGAAGTCCACAAGTCTTAAAGTTGCCCAGGTTCAAAACACCATTCTAACACGACACAGTCTTGTCTACGACTCTTCAAAACCTGTCAACACAAAACCAACGTCTTCTCCACCCTGAAGGAGAATCTCCATTCCCCAACTCTCCCTCCTGACTGTCTCCGGGGTGGGGTGAAACTACAAAGCCCATCCTCCTCTTCCCAGCGGCCCCAACACCCGGACGAAGACCCTCGTCTCACCGTTGAGGAAATTCTCCAGGCTAAAAAGTTTGACCTTCTTCTCCCGCTCGATAGGATTGGGCCCGGGCAGCTGTCCGGCACACGGGCCGGTCCAGAAGACTTTACATTGGCACAAGCGGATGGCGTAAATGTCCTGGCCTTGCAGCTCCAGGATCAGACCCCGGTCCAGGACGTCGAGTAGCTGGTGGGTGTAGTAGCGCTGCTTCTCGTTGGGGACGGCCTCGGCGCTGGGGAAGCGGACCTGCTCCAGCGTCACCGGGCCGAAGAGTTCCACCTGCTCCTGGGTGGGCTCCAGGTGGCTGTGGAAGAGGCGACAGCCCTGGGGGTTGCTGATGGTCAGGGCCCCCACCGGACGTCCGCGGTACTGGAATTTGATCTCCAGGTCGGTCACTGGAGGAGGAAGAGGAGGAGGAGACGACACGGAGGGTCAAAGGGGAAGCAGGACATTGGTGAGGGTCACAGAGGAGCAACTGGGAAGGGTGAGCCCCCCCAAACTCAAAGCCTTGTGGGCGGGGGGAGTCTGCAAGGTACGGTCCAAAAAGTCAAGATGGCAGCCGCAACGGTGCGAAGTACTTCTCAGTGAGTTTAAGATTGTCCTCGACTTACGACAGTTCCTTTACTGACCGCTCAAAGTTACAAGGGCACTGAAAAAAAAGTGACTTAGGACCGTTTTTCACACGTACGACCGTCGCAACATCCCGGTGGTCACGTGATCAAAATTCAGAGGCTCGGCAACTGGCATGTACTGGTGCCGGTTGCAGCGTCCCGTGGGGTCGTAAGTGTGAAAAACTGCCCTGTCCCTTTTTCAGTGCCGTTGTAACTTTGAACGGTCACTAAGCGGACGCTTGTAAGATGAGGACCACCTGGGTGGCAAGCCGACGTAGGCGTTCGGTGCAAATGCGACAGCTGAAGTGGGTCGTATGAACGCAGCCAACAGAGGACCCCACTTCCCATCTCCCCATTCCCATGGTGCACGCCCCTAAAAGTGCTTACGTGGCAGCATGTGCGGGCTGATCAATAAATTCGGGATGAACTGCTCCACGGGCGCTCCCGGACAGTCCCCCTGGGGCAGAGGCGCCAGGCTGCCTGACATGGACATGCTCTCCGGCACCAGCGACATCCGGCTCGCAGATTCGGCAAAGCTGGGCACCGGAGGCTCCCCTCCTACCGCGAAGGCCCCCACGGGCGCCGGTGCCGGGGGTACAGGCCCCACCTCCAAGTGGGGGAAGGTCCCGTTGGCGCACGGGTTGGAGTAGAGGGTCTCTTGCTTGAGCCACGGGTAGGGGGGCAGGGGTTCTGCCACGTGCGACGGATCTGAAAGGAGAGAACCGGACACTGTAGGGAGCGACCCAGGAAACTGGGTCAAAACGGAAGGATTGCAAGGGGGTGGTTTCCATACGGGGGGGGGGGGAACGGTCCGAAGGCAGCTCTGTTTTTGGGCGTGATTTATATCCCACCTTTATTACTGTATGAGGAACTCAACATACGTTAATTCTCTTTCTTCCTCCTCTTTTCCCCACCACAACGACCCTATGAGGTGGGCTGGGCTGAGACAAAGGAACTGGATCAAATCACCTAGCTGGTTTTCACGCCTAAGGTAGGACTAGAACTCACCGTCGCCTGGTGATTGTCCCAACGTCACCCAGCTGACTTTCATTCCAAACTTGGGACTAGAACTCCCTGTCTCCTGGTGATTGGCCCAAAGTCACCCAGCCGGCTTTCGTGCCTAAGGCAAGACTAGAACTCACCGTCTCCTGGTGATTGGCCCAAAGTCACCTAGGTAGCTTTCATGCTTAAAGTGGGACTAGAACTCACCGTCTCCTGGTTTCTAGGCCAGCATCCTAACCACTACACGAAACTGGCTCTTCTTTAGAAAGACGTTGGAGCCCTGCCCCTCCCTCCAGGCTGCCCCCCCCTGCCCTCTTCTGGGGGCTGCCAAGAACCCACCTGCGATTCTCAAGGTGGGCATCATTTTCTGCAGCTGCAATCAAAGGAAAAAGCAAAATCAGTGACGGGAAACTGAAGACGTCCCACCTGGAGGAACGGTCGAGCTGGAGGGGCAGAGCGCCTGACCCAGGGAGGGGCCGAAGGCAAAGCAAAGGGGCTGCCCCACTTCTCACCCCTGGAATGGAGCACCCATGCCCAAGACAGGTCTACCGTGCTGAGGGAGGGAAGCCTCGGCGGGAAGGGGCGAGGGGCCTTTTGCCAATTTAGAAAGTAACCCATCTCTCTCCCCCTCCCTCTCTCTCTCCCTCATCTATCCATCCCATTGGGGAATGCATTGATTAAGGTATAAGTAAAAAATTAAAAAATAATTTAAATCAATTTATTTAAATTGTAAGTAAAATAAATTTAAGTACATTTCTTTATATTATTTCCCAGTTTTTACTTATACATTTATGAATGCATTCCCCAATGGGATGGATAGATGAGAGAGAGAGAGAGAGGGAGAGGGAGGGAGGGAGAGGGGAGAAGGAGAGAGAGAGGGAAGGAGAGAGGGAGGGAGAGGGAGGGAAGGACGGAGAGGGAGGGAGAGGGAAGGAGGGAGAAAGGGAGGGAGAGAGGGAAGGGGAGAGGGAGGGAGAGAAAGGGAGAAAGAGGGAGAGAGGGCGGGAGGGAGAGGGAGAGAGAGGAAGAGGGAGGGAGGGAGAGAGGGGAGGAGAGGGGAAAGGAGGGAGAGGGAGGGAGGGAGAGAGAGAGAGAGAGAGGGAGGTTTCTAAATCGGCCAAAGGACTACATCAAACTTCATGTCTTTCAACTCTGGCTTCCCATTTCTAGCAGATAAATCCGTTCATTTAAATGTATTTTTATTGAAATAAAATTTTGTAAATATTTAAATAAATAAATTCAAATAAATGCATTTATCTACCTCTATCTTTCTAGCTGTCCATCTCTATTTATCTGTTGATCCAGCCTATGTATTTATCATCTCTCTCTCCCTCTCTCTCTAATCTCCATCTCCATCACCCTCTCTACAGCTATCTCTCCAGCCTCTCTATGGATCCTCTCTCCCCCTCTCTCCCTCCCTCTCTCAATCTTAATCTATATCATCTCTCTCTCTCTCTCATTTTGGAACCCCCCATCTCCCGCTCAGAGGGATCTGGGCGGTGTACAAAAATATAATACTAAATAAATAAATAAGAAACAGATCCAAGATTAGAGTCAAACCCAGGTGACCTGGAGTTTAGCCCCAACAACAGAGGGGAACTCTTGAGCATGCTGGTTTGAAGGTGGTTTGCCGAGTGCTAAATACAGCAGGATCGAGACGCAGAGACACAACTGGGGAATCTTTCCTCTCGTGACACCAGCCGAGCCCGGCACAGAAGGTCATACCCGCAAGTCTAACGGACACCAATCTATATCCTTGTGCTATTTTCCACATGGAGTGCAAAAAAACAACAACACCCCCTTAGATCTGCCCCCAAAGAAGGCCAAGAAGACCCCAGATCTCACCTCTTCCTCTTCTTCACATCCCACCAGCTCTTCTCCAGCAAAGCTCTCTGAAGACAAAATCAGAGGGTTAACGGAGCGTTCTTCCGAGTTTTACATTGTCGTAAGGGTTGCAGGTGTGTTGTCTCCTGAGCCCAGGGGTCCTCACAAACGTTAAGGACAAGGACTGGGGACTTCCCTACGTGGTATCCCGGTTAGTTGCCACCTGATGCTTGCCTGGGCTTCGCAGCTATGCGGTGACAGGCTGCCACGAACTGTGGGGAGCAAGAAGGAAGGGCGGGATACTTGGGGAAGCGGAAGTAAATGCTGTATTGCCTGGAGATGCTGCCTCAAGGCCTCCCGGCTGGGAGAAGAAAAAGGCCGCGTACCAAACGGCACGCTTGGACTGACCGCAATGGAAACATTTTGCCTGATCCTGGTTGGTTACGGCGGGACAGACAAGGAGAGAAAGTGAAGGGAGGGAAAAGTAGAATTTAGGGATTTGGGCGCGCGATTCTCAGTTCTGGTCGTGCAACGCTGCAAACACACTCGACCTCTAATAAACTAAACTTCCGTTTCTCAACAAAGGGAGCCAAGGATTGTTCCTATGTGGAGATTTAGAGATTGTGGCAGGTCTGACAGTCCCTCCCTCCCTCCGCACATCACAGCCAGCGTGAGAATATCCACCAAGGCCTCTGTTGTCAAGCCAGGAATCCCGGATGAAGGACGAGGCGAGTTTTAACAAGCGGCCATGAAATGTCCGTGGAGATTCTCAGTCCACCAGGTTGTCCCAAAGGTGCTTCCCCCCCCCTCAAAAGGCAACTGGACGTGGTTTGGTTTTCCCTTGAAGAGCTTTCGCTTCTCATCCAAGAAGCCTCCTCAGTTCTAGCAGTTTGTGCAGAATAATAATAATAATAATAATAATAATAATAATAATAATAATAATAGTAGTAGTAGTAGTAGTAGTAGTAGTAGTAATAGTAATAATAATGATGATGATAATAGTAATAAAAAGTTGGAAGGGACCTTGGAGGTCATCTAGTCCAACCCTCTGCTCAGGCAGGAAACCCTATACCAGGGATAGGCAACCTTGGCTCTTTTATGACTCGTGGATGACAGCTCCCAGAATTCCTGAGCCAGCATGAGGGAAACTTTGGCCCCCTCATGACTGGTGGACTTCAACTCCCAGAATTCCTGAGCCAGCATGGCTAAGCATGGAAGCCTCTCCCTTTCCCCTCAGCATGGCTGGCTCAGGAATTCTGGGAGTTGAAGTCCACCAGTTATAAAAGAGCCAAAGTTGCCTACCCCTGCCCTACACCATTCCAGACAAGTGGCTGTCCAGTCTTTTCTTAAAAACTTCCAGTGTTGGAGCATTCACCGCTTCTGGAGGCAGGTAGTTCCACTGGTTAATTGTTCTAACTGTTAGGAAGTTTCTCCTTAGTTCCAGGTTGCTTCTCTCCTCGGTTAGTTTCCATCCATTGCTTCTTCTCCTGCCTTCGGGTGCTTTGGAGAATAGCTTGACTCCCTCTTCTTTGGGGCAGCCCCTGAGATACTGGAAGGCTGCTATCCTGTCCCCCCTCGTCCTTCTCTTCGTTAAACTAGACATTCCCAATTCCAGCAACCGTTCCTTATATGTTTTAGCCTCCAGTCCCCTGATCATCTTTGTTGCTCTTCTCTGTACTCTTTCCAGAGTCTCAGCATCTTTTTTACATCGTGGTGACCAAAACTGGACGCAATATTCCAAGTGTGGCCTTACCAAGGCCTTGTAAAGTGGTATTAACCCTTCACCTGATCTTGGTTCTGTCCCTCTGTGAGTGCAGCCCAGCAGAACTAAAGAAGTTTTTCGGATGAGAAGTGAGACCCCTTCAAGGCAAAAATAAAACCCAAGAACGTCCAGCTGCCTTTGGGAAAAAGCACTTTGGGGAAGTGGTTGGGNGAGGGAAGGACGGAGAGGGAGGGAGAGGGAGGGAAGGACGGAGAGGGAGAGAGGGAAGGAGTGAGAGGGAAGGGGAGCGAGGGAGAGGGAGGGAGGGAGAGGGAAGGAGGGAGAAAGGGAGGGAGGGGGAGGGAGGGAGAGAGGGAGAAGGAGAGAGAGAGGGAAGGGGAGCGAGGGAGGGAGAGAAAGGGAGAAAGGGAGAGAGGGCAGGAGGGAGAGGGAGAGGGAGGGAGGGAGAGAGAGAGGAAGAGAGGGGAAAGGAGGGAGAGGGAGGGAGGGAGAGAGACAGAGTGAGAGAGAGAGAGGGAGGTTTCTAAATCGGCCGAAGGACTATGTCAAACTTCATGTCTTTCAACTCTGGCTTCCCATTTCTAGCAGATAAATCCGTTCATTTAAATGTATTTTTATTGAAATAAAATTTTGTAAATATTTAAATAAATAAATTCAAATAAATGCATTTATCTACCTCTATCTTTCTAGCTGTCCATCTCTATTTATCTATTGATCCAGCCTATGTATTTATCATCTCTCTCTCCCTCTCTCTCTAATCTCCATCTCCATCACCCTCTCTACAGCTATCTCTCCAGCCTCTCTATGGATCCTTTCTCTCTCCCCCTACCCCTCTCTCCCCCCCTCCCTCCCTCCCTCCCTCTCTCAATCTTAATCTATATTATCTCTCTCTCTCTCATTTTGGAACCACCCGTCTCCCGCACAGAGGGATTTGGGCGGTGCACAAAAATATAATACTAAATAAATAAATAAAAAACAGATCCAAGATTAGAGCCAAACCCAGATGACCTGGAGTTTAGCCCCAACAACAGAGGGGAACTCTTGAGCATGCTGGTTTGAAGGTGGTTTGCAGAGTGCTAAACACAGCAGGATCGAGACGCAGAGACACAACTGGGGAATCTTTCCTCTCATGACACCAGCCGAGCCCGGCACAGAAGATCATACCCGCAAGTCTAACGGACACCAATCTATATTCTTGTGCTATTTTCCACATGGAGTGCAAAAACAACAACACCAACACCCCCTTAGATCTGCCCCAAAGAAGGCTAGGAAGACCCCAGATCTCACCTCTTCCTCTTCTTCACATCCCACCAGCTCTTCTCCAGCAAAGCTCTCTGAAGACAAAAGCAGAGGGTTAACGGAGCGTTCTTCCGAGTTTTACATTGTCGTAAGGGCTGCAGGTGTGTTGTCTCCTGAGCCCAGGGGTCCTCACAAACGTTAAGGACAAGGACTGGGGACTTCCCTACGTGGTATCCCGGTTAGTTGCCACCTGGTGCTTGCCTGGGCTTCGCAGCTATGCGGTGACAGGCTGCCACGAACTGTGGGGAGCAAGAAGGAAGGGCGGGATGCTTGGGGAAGCGGAAGTAAATGCTGTATTGGCTCGAGATGCTGCCTCAAGGCCTCCCGGCTGGGAGAAGAAAAAAACCGCATACCAAACAGCACGCTTGGACCGACCGTGATGAAAACATTTTGCCTGATCCTGGTTGGTTACAGCAGGGTAGACGAGAGAAAGTGAAGGGAGGGAAAAGTAGAATTTGGGGATTTGGGCGCGCGATTCTCAGTTCTGGTCGTGCAACGCTGCAAACACACTCGACCTCTAATAAACTAAACTTCCGTTTCTCAACAAAGGGAGCCAAGGATTGTTCCTATGTGGAGATTTAGAGATTGTGGCAGGTCTGACAGTCCCTCCCTCCCTCCCCACATCACAGCCAGCGTGAGAATATCCACCAAGCCGTCTCTCGAACCAGGAATCCCGGATGAAGGACGAGGCGAGTTTTAACAAGCGGCCATTAAATGTCTGTGGAGATTCTCAGTCCACCAGGTTGTCCCAAAGGCAACTGGACGTGGTTTGTTTTTCCCTTGAAGCAGTTTTGCTTCTCATCCAAGAAGCCTCTTCAGTTCTAGCAGTTTGTGCAGAATATTAATAATAATAGTAATAGTAGTAGTAGTAGTAGTAGTAATAATAATAATAATTATTATTATTATTAATAATAATAATAATAATAATAATAATAATAATAATAATAATAATAATAATAATAAAAAGTTGGAAGGGACCTTGGAGGTCATCTAGTCCAACCCCCTGCTCAGGCAGGAAATCCTATACCAGGGGTAGGCAACTTTGGCTCTTTTATGACTCGTGGATGACAGCTCCCAGAATTCCTGAGCCAGCATGAGGGAAACTTTGGCCCCCTCATGACTGGTGGACTTCAACTCCCAGAATTCCTGAGCCAGCATGGCTAAGCATGGAAGCCTCTCCCTTTCCCCTCAGCATGGCTGGCTCAGGAATTCTGGGAGTTGAAGTCCACCAGTTATAAAAGAGCCAAAGTTGCCTACCCCTGGTCTATACCATTTCGGACAAATGGCTGTCCAGTCTCTTCTTAAAAACTTCCAGTGTTGGAGCATTCACCGCTTCTGGAGGCAGGTGGTTCCCCTGGTTAATTGTCCTCATTGTCAGGAAGTTTCTCCTTAGTTCTAGGTTGCTTCTCTCCTTGGTTAGTTTCCATCCATTGCTTCTTGTCCTGCCTTCGGGTGCTTTGGAGAATAGCTTGACTCCCTCTTCTTTGGGGCAGCCCCTGAGATACTGGAAGGCTGCTATCATGTCCCCCCTCGTCCTTCTCTTCGTTAAACTAGACATACCCAATTCCTGCAACCGTTCCTTATATATTTTAGCCTCCAGCCCTCTGATCATCTTTGTTGCTCTTCTCTGTACTCTTTCTAGAGTCTCAGCATCTTTTTTACATCGTGGTGACCAAAACTGGATGCAGTATTCCAAGTGTGGCCTTACCAAGGCCTTGTAAAGTGGTATTAACCCTTCACCTGATCTTGGTTCTGTCCCTCTGTGAGTGCAGCCCAGCAGAACTAAAGAAGTTTTTCGGATGAGAAGTGAGACCCCTTCAAGGCAAAAATAAAACCCAAGAACGTCCAGCTGCCTTTGGGAAAAAGCACTTTGGGGAAGTGGTTGGGAACACAGGTGGGCTTATCCACCTGTCGCAACTCACCTCTGACTCCGGGCGAGGATTTGGCACGGAAAACGCAACCCGGTGAAAGGGCACAGAAAAAAACAAGAAGTAAAAGTGCCCCCCCTCAGATCAGCTGCTCCTCGATCCTTCAACTCCTTATCCTACATCCTACATGTATTTAGAAAGAGCCCAAATAACCTTTTGAGCAAGGCTCCTTTTGAGAGGGGGTTTAACCCTCTTTTTAAGTCCTCGACTTACGACCACAATTGAGCCGAGACAACGGCTAAGTGAGTTTTGCCCCGTTTTATGACCTTTCCTGCCACGGCTGTGAGGCGAATCAGTGCAGTTGTTAAGTTAGTGACGCCGTCGTTAAGCGAATTCGGCTTCCCCGTTGACTTTGCTCCTCGGGAGGTGGCAAAAGGGGATCACGTGACACCGGGACGCTGCGACCGTCATACAGATGAGTCAGTTGCATCACGTGACTTTGGGGAACGCCGCAAAGGTCGTACGTGTGAGGAACAGTCGTGTCCCCTTTTTTTTCGGTACTGTTGTAACTCTGAACGGTCACTAAACGAACGGTTGTAAGTCGAGGACTAACTGAATCAGCCCTTTGATTGGGCCGTGGATAATAAAATGCTGCCTGGTTTCCAATCCAGAGAGGAAAGAAATGGAGGAAAGGAATGTTAGACGGAGAGGGAATCTCTGGGTGGGAGTTTTGCTGCGGCCATTTTGTCTGTTTTGAGTTCTGAAAGGCTGCAGGGGATGGGAGAGGCCGAAGCGGTCGGGAAGGAGAACAGCCTGCGCCTCTATTGGAGAGCCTGGATAGAGCCGAAAGAGGGAGAAGAAGGCCCTCGACCCATCAGGATCGGCAGGTTTCATAGCTCTTCCAGAACCTGCCCAACATGTCTGAGCAGACAATAATGAGCAGAGGAGAGAGGAGGAGGAGGAGGAGGAAAGAGAGACAGAGAGAGAGACAGAGAGAGAGAGAGAGAGAGAAGAAAGGAAAGAAGAAAAGAAAGAAGAAAAGAAAAGAAAGAAGAAAAGAAAAGAAAGAAGAAAAGAAAAAAAAGAAAGAAGAAAAGAAAGAAAAAGAAAGGAAGAAAGAAAGAAAGAAAGAGAAAGAAAGAAGAGAGAGAGAAAAGAAAAAAAGAAAGGAAAGAAGAAAAAGAAAGAAAAAGAAAAGGAAGAAAGAAAGAGAAAGAAGGAAGGAAGGAAGGGAGAGAGGGAAGGAGAGAGGGAGGGAGGAAGGAAGGAGAAAATAGGAAGGAAGGAGAGAAGGAAAAGAGGGAGAAGAAGGAAGAAAGGGAAGAGAAAGGAGGGAGAAGAGAAGGGAAGAGGAAAGGGAAGAAAAGGGAGGGAAGAAAGAAAGAAAGGAAGGAAGGAAGGAAGGAAGGAAGGAAGGAAGGAAGGAAGGAAGGAAGGAAGGAAGGAAGGAAGAAAGAGGGCTGGGAGAGAGGAAGGAAGATAAAGGAGGAAGAGGAGGAGGAAGAGGAGGTGAAGGAAAGGAGAGAGAGGTGGTGTGTGTGTGTTATGAGCATAACTTCCATGCAGGAATCTCTACAACCTTTTGGGTGTGTGGGTGGAGGGGGACCTCTTGCAGTGGGGCAGCGTAGAATCCACGGGTCCCCATATGCGCCCAGTTGGGGGACAAAGCCGCGAAATGGCAAAAGCAGCGGGTACCTCCGTTGGGCAGGGGTGCGTCGCAGACCTCGTAAATCTTGTAGGGCTGCATGGGCGTGTCCTTGGTCCCGTCGTAGATCAGGCTGAACTCTCGGCTTTTGTTGAGGGCGCAGCGCAGGTTGGCCTTCCACTTGGCCGGATCCGGCTCGTCCACGCCCTCGTTGTATTTGCCCGTCTCTTTGGCCCAGGCCTGTCCGCGCGAGAAAGAAACTTGAGGTCCCATCTGTCATTGTGTTGTTGTTATTCTTGGCCAGTCTAAAATGTCACGAAAATCTCCATTCTGGCCACTTCTGTCTCCCTATCTCGCAAAGGATGACCCAAGGAGTCAACTTAAACCTTGGCAGTTCCTCTTCCACGCCACCACCACCCCAAAAAAAGTTGTGCCCAGGCAACTTGAACCCCAGCCTGCCCTCTTCCCCCTTGAGGTCACCTTAAAGATGGTGTTCTCGTCATCCTGGCAGGGCACGTGCCGAGTGGCGTGGCGCCAGGGGATGCAAAACCGCTTCTGCTCCGCGTCCACCCAGCGCAGACCCGGATACTGGCCGCTGTTCACCTGGGCCACCAGCCAGGGCTTCAGGCGGATGCGCCGCGGGTGGGGGTTCATGCTTCAGCCCCCCCACCCAACTCCCCCGTCGAAGGGCCTGGCCTGGAAGGAGAAGCCGAGAAGGAATCAGGAGCCGGAACCAAAAACTGGAAGCAGCAAATAGTGTCTTCCAAGGAACACCGGCCAGGGGCGGTCCCGAAGGATTCAGAGGCTGCAGTCCAGCTGCCGGGTTCAGCAGCGTCCCCCACCCCTCCAACAATGAGTGAGATTTCAAGGGGCTGATTTGGGGGAGCCTCCATCCATCGGGACCCTCAATCGCCTGGACGCTTGGAAGGAAGGAGGGAAGGAAGCCACGATGAGACCATGGTTTGGATCGTAGGTTGATCCAGCTGCGGGAACGAGCGGCAAATTCCCTCCTTTTTATTCAAGTGACCCATGACCTCCAGCACCCACAAAATTTGCTCCTCTACCGAAGACGACCAAGCAAATTAAAAGCACCCAATGCACACACACACACACACACACACACACACACACACACACACACACACACACATCCTCCAGCGTTTTGAAAAGTTTGAGAAACGAACCACTTCAGATTTGCGGATGACGTTGTTCTCTTCTCACAAGAGCTACAAAGACACAAGAACAGCGCAAAGCAGGATAACCCTTGGGCTTAATAAATACACCTGAAAAAGAGGCCAGGTCACGTTTAATCAATTCATTAAAGAAAGAAAGAAAAATTTATATCTGGAGAAGAACTAGACGTAGTAGACCAGTGGTTCTCAACCTTTTTAATGCCATGACCCCAACCGGTCGTAAGTCGAGGACTAAACTGGTCGTAAGTCGAGGACTAAACCGGTCGTAAGTCGAGGACTACCCAACCGGTCGTAAATCAAGGAATTTCCCTGCTCGGGAGCGCCACGCATGCGTGGTTCCGCCCCCTGCGCTGGCCAAGGCGTAGGTGGCAAGCGGCAGAGACGGAGCAGGCTGACCACCAGCTGGCCCAGCCCAAGGGAGGTAAGGCACCCGCCGGAAAAGGGGGGAAAAAAATGGAGGACAAAAAAAATGGCAGACAAAAAAAATGGCGGACAGCCTTGCTTGGCGACCCCCATGAAATGGTCGATCGACCCCAAATGGGGTCCCGACCCACAGGTTGAGAACCACTGTAGTAGACCGCTACGTATACGCTCAGCCAACGGATCTTGGTGGAAGGTGATACAATAAGGAAACTGAACAGCGTGTTAAATGTGGTTGGCAGGCATTCGGCAAGCTAGATGTCATTGTCAAGAACGGCCTCCCCTGATGCCCCAAAAGTTTTCGATCAGTGTGGTGCTACCTACTCTCTACATATGCCGACAAAATGTGGACACTAACCTCACAATCGTAGCAAAAGCTACAGAGCCACGGAAAGAGGCCTGCTCGGCATCACAAGACAAGGTAGAAAGACCCGCACGTGGATTAGAGCAGGGGTCCCCAACACCTGGTCCATGGACCTGTACCGGTCCGCGGCATGCCAGCAACCGGTCCGCACAAACAAAGAAAGCCCCATCCCACAGGATGCAGGCAGCACACAAAACCACGCGCCCTCCGGTCCGCGGGAAAAACCTCTCTCCACGGAACCGGTGATCCCTGGTGCCCCAAAGGTTGGGGACCTCTGGATTAGAGAAGAAACGAAAATATACAAGGCCACCAACTGAGTCAAAGAATTGCAAGGGAAACGGGCTGATCTCCTAGCAGACATAAAACGGATCCCACTCGATCAAAACGTGACCATGAAAGAGACCCAAAACGAGACGGAGTGACCACAGCAGCCAAATATGGCGGGGCCCAGCTGGGAAAAGAAAGGTCAGGACCGTTATCGGTTGGAGACAGGCGGAAGAAGCCTTCATCCTGCCGTGGTTAAACAATGGCTAGAATGAGGAGGGTAAATGACGATAAACGGACAAGCAAACATGACATTTTCTGCCCTAACTCTTTCCAAATCGAGCCCCCCCCCCGCCCTCACTCACGTGGCTCCTGCTTCCTGGGGATGGGAAAGGAATACAGGCGGTTTAGTAACCAAAGTTACAAGGGCGCTGAAAAATGTGACTTACGACCAGGTTTTGCGCTTAACGACCGTTGAAGCGTCCCTACGGCCACTTGATCAAAAATTCGGACACTTGGCAACGAGCATATAAGGGGAAATTTCCTGACAGTTAGAACAATGAACCAGTGGAACTCCTTGCCTCCAGAAGGGGTGAATGCTCCAACACTGGAAGTTTTTAAGAAGAGACTGGACAGCCATTCTTCTGAAATGGTAGAGGGTCTCCTGCCTGAGCAGGGGGTTGGACTAGAAGACCTCCAAGGTCCCTTCCAACTTTATTATTATTATTATTATTATTATTATTATTATTATTATTATTATTATTATTATTATCATCATCATCATCATCATCATCATCATCATCATCATCATCATCATCATCATCATCATCATCTTATATTATTATTATTATTATTATGGATCATCGCACAGCCAGCCAGATGTTCAGACTGGATTTGGCATTTGTCTACCTATCGAGTCCTTACCCAGGACCTGGGATAGGCAGATGTGGATGTTTGATGCTATTACAGATCTCGTCGCAGGATGGAAGCAGTTCCTAGTAAGGCCGCCTTTTGCAATTGACTATTATTATTATTATTATTATTATTATTATTATTATTATTATTATTATTATTATTTACGACAGTCGCAGTGTCCCCAGGTCATGTGATTCCCCTTTTGCAATTTTTAATTACTTTTAATAAGGGTTGTTTTCCTATTTCTTAACCGCGACTGCTTTTAATATATTTATTGTTTTCCTCCACGGCTGGACGCTGCCCAGAGTCTCTTTTGGCTGATAGACAGATAAATAAATAAAAAGCATCCACCCATTTTCTTTGATGTGGCGATGACTGATCGCCCTGGATGTTGCAAAGCCTCGGATTCTGGTTCCACGGGTGGGACCACGCCACCCACGAGTCAGTGGGGCAGGGCCAGTCCTTCACTGCTCTGTCGCAAACCCAGCCGGATGCAACGGGATGCTCAGCCCGGGAGCACCGTCTTCCAGAGATGTATCCCCCGTGGCTTCCTTTGGGCGCTCGGCTGCCCACTCACCTGTCTCAGCCACGCTCGCCGAGCCACCGGTGAGCAGCTTTTGCAGCTGACTAACCTCGGCTGCAAAGAGCGCCTCTTGGATTGAACAGAGAACACAGAGTTCGGAAGGACCTCGGAGGTCTTCTAGTCCAACCCCCTGCTCGAGCAGGAGACCCTATCCAGGGGTAGGCAACCGTGGCTCTTTTATGACTTGTGGACTTCAATGCCCAGAATTCCTGAACCAGCCATGCTGACTCCGGAATTCTGGGAGTTGAAGTCCAAGGTTGCCCACCCCTGCCAGCCTATGCCATTTCAGACAAATGGCTGTCCAATCTCGTCTAGAAAACCTCCAGTGTTGGAGCATTCACAACTTCTGGTGGCAAGCAGTTCCACTGATTAATTGTTCTCACTGTCAGGAAATTTCTCCTTAGTTCCAGGTTGCTTCTCTCCTTGATGAGTTTCTATCGGTTGCTTATTGCCCTCCAGTGCCTTGGAGAATAGGCTGATCTCCTCTTAAACCACGTTTTAAGATGGGTAGACTTCAACTCCCAGAATTCCCCAGCCGGGCTGCTTTAAGATGGATGAACTTCAGCTCCCAGAATTTCCTAGCCGGCATGCTTTAAGATGGGTGGACTTCAATACCCAGAATTCCCCAGCCGGCCTGCTTTAAGATGGCCGGTCTTCAGTTCCCAGAATTCCCCAGCCAGCCTGCTTTAAGATGAGTGGACTTCAGCTCCCAGAATTCCTTAACCAGCTTGTTTTAAAATGGCTGATCTTCAACTCCCAGAATTCCCCAGTCCACCCATCTTGAAGCATGCTGGCTGGGGAATTCTGGGAGTTGAAGATCATCCATTTTAAAACAAGCTGGCTAAGGAATTCTGGGAGTTGAAGTCCTCTCATCTTCAAACCCCCAAGTTTCAAGGACATGGGGCCAAACCGATAGCTGGTCTTCTCACAGAAACGCGGCACGATTCAAATCTTGTTCTCAACTCGGCTACGACAGAAAAAAATGCGTCCCCGCGAGCAGAAAGGGGAAATTTTGCCGGAACCCAAAATTCAGGTTCAGCAACTACGAAAAAAGTCAGTCTAGAGATGCAGGGATCAGCCAAGAATACTTAACCTTGAAATCTAGTTAACAGCTTCGACTGATACTGCAGCTAATTATACAGAACTGGGTTTTTTTCCACCATCAACTTGGTTTCTCCTCCTTACAGTTACGAATTGTGGCTCCCACAACCGTCTTCAAGCAAACACACACACACAAACACACCGACAAGGGACTGCCCTGGGGGAAAATATCTTGACTCAGAATGGAAACCCTGAAGTAAAGATTCAAAAGAGTGTAAAATAATTATTATTACTATTTTTTATTTTTTTGAGTACTTCTTTAGGACAAAAAAGGACGCGGCGGCACAGAGTACCGAAAGGAATCAATCTGTTCTATTTGAAACTGACCAGATCTTATGTCAGGGCGAGGAACCAATTCTGGGCCTATCAGTTCAAAACTTGCTTGATTAGACAAATGGGCTGAAAGGAACAGAAGGAAACAAGACTAGATTGGAAAAACAGACCTGAGACGGGAGTGGGATGTGGCTGCAGGAAGGCAAATCCAGGTTTTGGCCACATCAGGACAAATCCAGTTCTCAAATGGGAAGGAATTGGGATTGTGGAGTTGAAAAGGACCTCAGGGGGTTATGGAGATTTGGGGCGAATCACCAGGAGATGGAGAGTTCTAGTCCCGCCTTAGGCATGTAAACCGGCTGAGTGACTTTGGGCCAATCACCAGGAGACGGTGAGTTCTAGTCCTGCCTTAGGCATGAAAAACTAGCTGATGACTTTGGGCCAGTTACCAGGAGATGGTGAGTTCTAGACCCGCCTTAGGCATGAAAAATGGCTGGGTGACTTTGGGCCAATCGCCAGGAGATGGTGAGTTCTAGTCCCA